CCAACCTTACTTCCCATCATGGCTTAATGCAAACATTCATTCAAGCAATCAGATCTGTTACCAATTCTTGATGTAGACACCTTTGCTCATGCTCTTCCATCAGCCTTCATTCCATCCGCAAAACCTTCCCCACTATTTGCTCACAGAGACTGTTTGTTACATTTTTCATTACACTTACAGGCTCTCTTGTAACACTTCAGACTTGATTGCCTTCTGTTATTGTCTAGTTTAATGAGGGATTTGTTTTCTCCCCAAATACATTGTAGTGCAGGAACAGTGCCTTATGCTTATCTTTGGGCAAATATTTAAATACTAAATAAATGTCAGATTTCTTAAACCAAGTGTAACTTTTTGTGTAGTAGGCTAAATTTTAGTTTATGGCTTCTTTCCTATGAATTATTTTAAGTCCTAGAAATATGAAATTAACAAGAAGTTTAATATAAATATGATTTTAGTGAATTTGGAGAAGCAATATGGCATAACAGGTAGAGAGCTGTGTGACCCTGGACGAAGCACTAAACCTTTCAGTGCTTTAAGCAACTCTTCAAGTCTGTAAGTTGCAGAGAAGACATTGACTTGCATTAGTAGAGGAATTTTCTTCATCTACCCCTTTGCTAAGGAAATCACAGGTCCATTCCATAACCATGTTTAGTGAATTCTATTTCCTCACATAACACTCATTCCTTGCGATGTTTATTCAGGCATTGTGATTTAGATGTTATTCTAAAAGCTAAGCTTCAAAAAAATAAGTATTGAAGACATTTTCATATAAAATGTAAAGGAGCTATTACTTTGAAACAAAAACATGAATAAGACTACAGAAGCATGGAAAGACATATTCCTCTTTATAGATATATAGAAACCTATGAAGATAAAGCAATCTCCAATACAGATATCTATAGATAGATACAGATAGAGAGATAGACACACATATGTATGTCTATAGATATGGATATAAAGTGAACTGAGCACAACTAAAGAAACAATACACATGACTTCAATGATATAAATCAAAAGAACATGAAAACAAACCATATTGAGGGATATGAAATTATAACACCCTGAAGAAGAGCTATGAGACTATACCTCTTCCTTCTTTGAAGAAGTGAGGAGCTATGGATGTGATATACTAGATACAACTAGATATAACACTGTACTTGGCTTGACATGGTCATGGTTTTATTCAACTACTTCCCCACACCCACCCCAACCCCCTCTTTATTCCTTGTTATAAAGGATGTACACAAAGAACATACTGGAAGTGAAATAAATATAAATATAACAACAAAAATAAAAACAACCAAAAAACGATATTATGTTGTCTTGAAACGTACATCCTATTTCTAGGTAAGAAATTCTTTGAAGATCTAAGATGGTTCATTTAAAATGCCTCTTCAGACATGCCTACAGATTTCAAATGGCACTGTATATTTCAAAGTGCGTAAATCTAAGTTACATTCTTTTTGAATCCAACATTATAGTCTGTAGTTAAAAACTGAAGCAGCACCCACATCCATAATAAATTATTTCCTGGGGCTTCCCTAAAACCACTCTGAATATTAAGATAAGAATGTTTTCATCTGACTGTCAGTAGAAGGGGAAAATGCATAACATCTGTTTTAGATTTCATTTAGACCTTCCAAAAAATAGCAAAACCCAGAGGCAAGATTCGGTAAGAGGGGAGGCCAGGCTCTACTCGAGTTCTCACAATAGTGCCCACGTATACAGTACTTGTTGAACAAATTCAGATTTATTGAAAGTAAACATTTACATTGGCTACAATGTTATAACTGTTACAAAGCTGGATAAAAGAGGCTAAAGTAGCAATAGAAAGCAAGTGCCATAAAAAGTGATAGAGAAAATATTTGGCCTTAGTGATCTTTTGGCAGTATTTACATTATGTACATATCGTTAAATATTTATAATAACTCTAAGGCACCAGAGGCTAAATAGCAGGCTGCAATACTATTTTGTGCACAAAATTCAAGAAATTTGTCAAGAAGGCTGTATAGTTAAAGAAACAGAGGCATATCTTAATGTTTACATAAAGGAATGACTGTATTTTTTTTAATCAAAAGATACAGTAAATTTTGGGCAAACTGAAGAAAATAATTTTCGAACATTAAATTATGTTGAATGTATCAGGATTACTTTTACCGATTTGCTGGTAAATGTTTAATGTCATCTATTCTTCAACACAACTTTTTCACACTCTAGATATGTTTTGTCTAAAAGCTACTTAAATTCTTTTGATCTACAAAAACTTATACCTAATATATCATACTTTATACAAAATTTCAAAGAAATATTGGCTGGGTAATAATATACATCAATTCTACACTGACAATAAAATAAAAATCACAAGGAATCAACTGCCCCCAAAGTTTGAAACTTCAGTTGGCCAACTGAAACAAGTTGCCCATTTTATTCCCCTAATTTTCATCCACAGAGGTTGAGGTTTCACCAAGGATATGGAAAACCAGTCAATGTAGAAAGCTAGCGGAACTAGGGAATCATTAGTTTTTGATTTGAACTTATCTCTGTTTTGGGACATTAGTATCTCAAACAGGAATCTCACTGTATTCTCAAGAGTTTAAGAGGTGCAAAGTCGATGATCCCTTTGCCCATGAATGGCTGCATTACAAAGCAGTTGATGATTTCCTCCAATTTGTGACAGTCTTCTTGCTCCTCATTTGGGAGAAACATTTTCCTGTAAAACACTGGCCTGTCTTTTATCCTGAGGTAGTGTTGTAATGAAATATTCAGTCAAGACAGAGTTACACCATATTTTTTTTTTAGAGTCATTAGTTCCAAAATGCTCAAAGTAGCAATTTGACATTAATATCCATTCAGGGGGAATGAAGCCATAGGGTCAAGTTAAAATTTATTATACACCAAGCTATGGACAAATGAAATCACCCAAATTCCTTAACAAGGATTGTAAATATTGCCCCTTAAATCTTCTGTCCCCATGGCCTATATACTATATTTAACAACATTATATTAATTGCATTTCAAACTTCTAAAATCCATTCAACCATATTCATTGGATGATGAAAATTGTGCATGTTTAGTGCTGTTACTTTTGCCAGAGGAGAAGAAAATTGAAGAATTTATTCTTTTAAGTTTTTAAAATTTTTTATGACAAATATCTACTGTGTGAAATGAAAGTGTTAGGATTGATCTCAGTGATTAAAAATTACTTGACAATAAATAAGGATGTAAGGTTGTATGTATTTATCTCAAATTTTAATTAAAAAAAACCTTAACTTGTTTAAAAATTTACCAAAGCCAACCACCACCAAAACAAAACAAAGAACCTTTCCATTAAAATGTAATTGCCCAATTCTAATTGAACAGGCTATAAATACATCATTTTTTTATGCTTTTCAAATACAGCATGAACAGATTTCTTTCCTTGTCATAATGTCAAAACAGCACATTCATCTAAGTAGTAAAATGTTTACAAAATGAACTTAAGGAGAAAGTATATTCTTTAAACCAGCTCCTGTCTTTGTCCTTTCTACTCCACCTCTTGTACCTGACCACATCCTCATGAATGAAAATAAATTATTAGCTTGTTCAGTGGATTCTTCTTTAGTATCAATGTGTACAAAATTAATATAATTATTACATAACATCAGTAAACAATTTTCAAGTGATTAAGAAAAAACACTAGTACAGTAATAAAACCTAGAATCATTGAACATGGCTCAGTACTCAACAAATATTTAAATTGGGCTACTGAATTAAGAAATAACCATAATATTTAACCCCTTGAATATTAAAGTTGATAAATAACCCCCTGGATTTCTGAATAACAATATTTCCTAAATCATTATGGTTTGGCAAAAAAAATTAAAGATAATTTGATGTGATACTCTCCTTACCACTGGACTGTAATGTCATTAAATATATATTGTTTGTAAACTGATCATTAAAAATGAGTTCTGCTTAGATACTTTGCCCAGGAAGACTCAGCTAAATAATTCTCCTAACTCATCACCTAAAAATCAGTCATATCTGCAATGTAATACTGCTAAAATCATGGGAGAGGGCTGTTTCTCCCCCCACTCATGAGAATGTATTTTAAGTTTAACATGATGAAAGAAAGATCTTGTTCCATTATATTGTAACTTAGCATTAAACATAACTACTTTTTCTTCATGTGTTAAGTTAGTAATTAATTTTATACTTTTCCAGGGGCTTCCAAAATGTACTTCTTATTCCAATGCTAATTTTGTCCTTTTTATATATCACTGAAATTGTGTGGGTAAAGCATGGACTTCCTTGATGACTTGGAAAGGCTAGGTAAAAACATGCAGAGCCTTCTTTTACTCTGCATAAACTCCCCAAATGAATCCATTCACGTTGTGGGGTTCACTTCCTTCCCCTACAGTGAATTCTTACTCCTAGATATGGCATGGGTCCAAAGGAATGAGATAGCAAAGATCAACAGTAATCAGGGGCAAGCCAATGCTCTCATTTTGATCAATATTTCCAAACTGTGATCATTACTAATTTATACGTTTGAATTCATGTGTATATGATAGTTTTCCTAATCTGTTAATTGCTCAACAGAGGCTATTTCACATGAGATTTTGTTGGATCAGAGTTATAAATGACCGACAGCTGACGTATAAGGGATAGGTGGGTAAATATTCATGTTTATGTTAATGAAATAACATTAGATATAAACCATGATTCCAGGCTCAGAATTGCACAGCAGTCCCATGAGTGTAAGTGCTGACAGGAACAGACTGATTCCACAAAGATCCCTTAGTAAATGGAATACTATCAATTAAACTCCAAAATGAACCTTGGGATACAGGGAAAGAGGCATGATTTCATAAGCATGTGAGCCTTAAAAAGCTGGTATTTGAATGGATACTGTAATTTATAAACTTCTTAGCTTTCTTTTAATATAAAAGAAGCTTTAATATCTTCTTTCTCAATATGAAAAAAAAATAAGTTGTATTAGATGGAAAAAATGTAAAAATCTGACATAACACAAAGGTATTGTAATATTTTTAAAAATAGAATCATATAACATCAGAGTTTGAAGGGACCTTAGGATCATTTAGTTCCATCTAATCCCATTTTCTGGATGAGGAAAATGATGCCCAAGGTCACAAAAGGTAATTTGTGATAGGGCCAAGACCAAGCCTCCGGAAATCTAGTTCAGTGCTCTTTCCATTGACCAACACTGCCTCTGTTCCCATGGCAGGAAATTAAAAAAAAATTCTGCTTAAACTTTCAGGGATTGATTTTGAATAAATGATCATCAAATTTTAAGTATTAAACATTATATTTAGTTCATGTAGAAATTTATCAATAACCCCAAAATGGTGGTGAAATTTAAATGATGAACTTTCACATAGTGGGAGCTGAATATGTACAATATTTTCTTTAGCCTGTTATGTAAAACATGGGCAACTAGAAAAATTGTACACACACACATTTTCAATGAAAAGTTACCCATAATTTGAGTGAAGGGGCTAGGAGTTGGCTCATATCTTGTTTAGATCCAGATTTACTGATTTTTGAAGTTTATGTCTTCATACAGGATGAGGATAGGATCCTAGATTTGCACCATCAGTGTGGTCACATATATGTGTGTGTGCATGTATAGATACATTTATGATCATATTTATACACACACACACATATATGCATATATATGCAAAACACATATATACTTACTTTTTTTTTGGCAAGGAACTGCATCTAAATCCTAGTTATTTTTTGAATTAGAAAAAAAAAACTAGGATAAGTAGTAACATCCTTCCAAGACATTCCAATGACCCATAGTACTAATAAATATAGTACATTTGAATGTACAAACATAATACTTATTGCAAAGTATCCTGTATAGATGTAGGCTCCATTATAAAATATTCTCTCTTTGTTCTATTTTGTTTAACCTAAATTTAAAATGCCGGTATATAATACCAATATGTCCAATTAAAGAGTTTAATATAAAAATATCAGCACAAAACTCCTTTTTAAATCTTTTTTATTGTGAGCAGCCCAAACTTTTGTTTAAGTGCTGTTGAATTTTATTACTAGATTCCATACCCCTACAGTTGGCAAATTGCTACCATTTTAGGTATTTCAATGAGACTTAGAAATACTAAGAAAAAAATCAGTATTCAAAGGGTTAATTTGGTTTATAATAACAATTTTTTTTTCATCTTCTTCAGTTCAAAATCCAGCTTTGAAACCGAGGAAGGCTTTCAAATCATGATAGTGAAACCACAGTGGTCCTTTAGCCAGTTGCAGTTTGGTTACCAATTACCCGGAGAATCTCTTTATGAATGCCTCCTTCTTGAGTGTTAATGCTTGTATCTCCTACTTGACCATCTTCATAACTAAAAAAATGAAACAAGTAAATATTAATATTTGAAGTATTTTAATGGCATAGAAACTTATTTTGCAATTGAATATCACACAGAGAAAAATAAGATAATTTAGATTTAAAATGTTCAACATATTTTTTCCAGATATACATTTTAATTTTACATTAATTTTATTTTTTCTCAATTACATGTAAACAGAAATTTTTAACATTTATTTTTTTTAATTTTCAAAAATTTTTATTCCAAATTTCCTCACTCCTTCATTTCTCCTTGAGAAGGCAACTTGATATAGATTATACATGCATACTAGCACAAAACATATGAGCTATGTTGCAAAAGAAAATGCAAACCAAAATGATGATGATGATGATGATGATGATGGAAAAAAATACGCTTCAATCTGCATTCAGATATCATCAGTTCTTTCTCTGGAGGTGGATAGTATTTTTTCACCATAAGCTTTTTGGAATTGTTTTAAATCATTATATTGCTGAGAATAGCTAAGTCATTCACCACTGATCTCTATACAATACTGCTGTTACTGTGTACAATGTATTCTTGGTTCTGTTCATTTCACTTTTCAGCAGTTCATGTAAGTTTTTCTGAAAGCACTCTGCTCATCATTTCTTATGGTACCATAGTATTGCATTACAATCATATACCACAACATGTTCAGCCATTCCCCAATTGGTGGGCATCCCCTCAATTTCCAATTCTTTATCACTACAAAAAGATCTCCTATAAATATTTTTGCACATGTAAGTCCTTTTCCTTTTATCTTTTTGGGATACAGTACTAGTAATAGTATTGCTGAGTCAAAGAACACGCGTAGTTTTATAGCCCTTTGGGCATCATTTCAAATTACCTCCAGCATGGTTGGCCGATATACACGTTCAAATCACTAAAGAGACAAATCATTTTTTCCATTTTGTGAGCCATTTGATCGCTCTTCCTTTACTTTCAAAGATTGATTAGCATTGTTCTTCATTGCAGTTTTGAGAGTATCAACCTTTTACCGCAGTATCTTTTACCCTACCATAAAATTCACCAGCTCTCTTACTAAGTTAACATAGTACATACATATTCACACTCTTAACTTTGATTTTCAACCTTATTCCAGTAATGGGCATCGTAAGAATTCAGTTAACCGCCCTCTTACTTCTCTGTTTTTCTTGACTTGCTCTCTCCTTACTTATTTACCCTTTCACCATTAATTCTTTGCCTTTTCTCCCTCCTCTCCTCAGCCTACACTGACATCTTTCTATGCTCATCACTTTGTCTCTTTTTTATCTTGCTCTCATAGATATGATCCAGTCTTTTCTGATTTTACTCTATGCTTTCCATATTAAGAAGGTGCTTCTCAAATGCAAGTAATTCTTTGAACTTGAGCTATGAAAAAAAATCCATAAAATTCACACAACATTCTATAATGAACAATTTCTGAATCTTTTGATTTGGAGGTAATTTTATTTCAGAATAGTTCAATTCCTTATATAAACTCAGTAAGGTAATAGGAAGTTTACCTTGAATACATCTGTTAAGCTCCCATGATAATAGTCAGTGAGTAATAAGTAGTGAATTAATTCTTCTCTACAAAAATGGCTTCAGGATAAGAAGCTTCAGAGAGGTCTGGTAATTAGCTCCAAAACAAAGAATCAAAGAAGTAATCAGAGAGCCTCAGAGATTAACATAGGCCCCCATCTTTTCTTTACCACCCTTAAATGTCCTGTAAATTTGCAGAGCATGGCAAACTGTAGAGTTAGCATCAAACGAAAAATAGCAGAAAATGGGACTCCTCCTCAGCTATCTAGTATGAGCCTGTTATCTTCCTATTAAATCTATATACCTAATGATCTGTTCTGACAATGTAAGCCATTTAGTTTATGCAATCTCACTTACTTTGCTGATTAATACAGATGCACTGATGTAATAGTTTCAGCACAAAGCCTTGGAATTTTATTCACAAACAATATTAAATTAGGGCATAATGAGATATGTTGGGGCATATCTAGTAGGCGAGACATGGCAGAGTGAAGAGCAAAGGGGCAGAAGTTCACTAAAGACAGACAAATAGTATATGAACTACAGAATCTCAGCACTGGAAAGGGCCTCAGAGGCCCTTTTATTCTAACTTGTTCTAAACAACAAATTCCATCCACTCTACCCCATTTATGGAATATCCAAAGAAAGTAATTCAGCCTTTTCTTGAAAGACCTCCAATATCTTGGGATATCTAGCATATCTCAAGATAGTCTGATTCATTTTTGGATACCTCTGTTAGGAAAGGAAGTTTTCCTTTACATAGAGTCTATATCTCTGGCATTCTACAGCTTTTTATTCATTGTTCCTAGTTTTGCCCTCTGTGACCAAACAGGAAAAAAAAATCTTATCCCTCTTCCACAAACATCCGAATAGTTAATAACTGCCCACACTCGCCCAATTCCCTATGTCTTGTCTTCCCCAGGCTAAACAGTCCTGGATTCTTTAACTGATTCATATATAGCATCATCTCAAGGCCTTTCACCATTCTGGATATCCTCCTCTGAATGCTCTCATTTGTCAAGATCCCTCTCCAAAATGTGGCCCCCAAAACTAAAAGCAATATTTTACATATGATCTACAATGCTTTACAGTTCTCCTTCCCAAAAATCATCCCATATGTAAAAACCATGCTCGCTCAGAAGGAAATAACATATTGCCAATAAATTGAGTGAGTTGGCTTCACCATAAGGAAACATGTCTTGATTTTTACAGCTGCCTAAAACTGGAATGGGCTATCTTGAAGATAGGAAGACTCCCCCCAGAACCTGGAAAACATTATTCAGGTATACTGATTATAGTACTCAAAGTCGTTTCCAACTGGGAGACTACTTTATTTTGTGAATTAACTAGATTGATTTCTCTATTTCTGACAAAGCAGACCAACAAAATAAAACAGACTGCTGTAACTCACTTCAAATATCAGGATTTTCCTTCCCCAATTCCCCTTAGTCAACAAGTGTCCACACTAAGATTTTCTTCAGGAAATAAATCTGTCCTCATTCCCAAATATAAACTGGTAAGTTTTTTTTCCAAAAAGTAAAACATATCCAAAATATGGAAGACCAATACAGAAAATCATGAATTAAACTTTTCATACACATTTCTTTTCTAAAGACCTTTTTTAAAACAAATTCCTTTATATAAGGACTTCTTTCTTGGTTACAGAGGCCAACTGCGTCCAAAATATTGCTGGTATAAATTAAGGATTGTGAAATCAAATCTACTTATGAAATGCAAATAGTATTCATATAATGTCTCTTAACAGTGCAAACAGCTTACCTAAACAAACACATACTAAGTGAAAACTTAAATGTAAACAGAAAGAGTTCAAAATTTGTCCCTGTCTTTCTTCATTTGGAATGTGAGCCAGTACTCCCACTTTTAGCTGTGACAAATCTATGAGAAGTTGTAAATATACACATAGTATATATGTACATGTACACACACATACACACACACACAGATACAGATACACATACACACACACTTTAGTCTATCTCCATTAGATTTGTTTTCCTTTGAAGACCTCTCTTCACCATACTTTGCTATTGTCTTTCCTCACTGGACACTTAAATGGATAACTCAAATTTCCTTGAAACAAATACAAATATATATGACTGGACTTTATTAAAATAAAGGTTCCAGCTGCTTCTTTATGTATTGAGGCTGGACTTGAACCTAGATCTTCCTGTCTCAGCTCCTTCTGTTCCAAAAAGCTTAATGTATTGGATTACAAAGACATATCATTCGGCCCTTTTACGACAGTCAATAATTCTTTTACAGGAATGTTGAGATTCAGAAATGGTACTATTCTGGTAATGAAAATCAGTGAGATGTGTAGTACTTGAACTACTCATAGAGGGAGTGATTTTCATTTATGTTGAGTTCAAATAAGACACACAGTGCAAAACAGTTGTCCAAGATATTTATCACCAATTTAATATAGTTATTTCAGTAAATTTAGAACTTATATTACTAAGCTCCTAGCAGAGAGCTGAAAAAAAAAACCCTCTTTATTAAGTGCCTAGTATAGCACTTATGACAGGCACTAGGGATACCAAGACGGAAATGAAACCACCTCTGTTCTGAAGAAGTTTACATTCTACTGGGTGGGGGTGAGGGTGATAAAGTGGAAGAAAACAAGTATTGAGATAAGTAAATATAAAGTATATTCAGTTACTCAGGAGGGGGAGAAATAGCGACTGTAGGATCTGAAAAGGGGTGCTGAGGAGAATATTTCAAACACAGAGACAAAGAAGGTACAGAAGTAGGAGATGAAATAGTGTGTATTGTTGTTGTTACTCAATCATTTCAGGTGTTTTTCACTCTTCCTGACCCTATTTGGGGTCTTCTTGGAAAAGATACTAGAGTGGTTTGCCATTTCCTTCTCCAGCTCAGTTACAGATGGGGAAACTGAGGTAAATAGGGTTAAATGACTCTACCAGGGTCACACAACTAATGCACATTTGAGGCCAGATTTGAACTCAGGAAGATGTCTTCTCAACTCCAGGCCTGGCACTCTACCCATTGCTCCACCTAGCTGCCTCAAAAATTGTATATAAGTTTATAGAGAAAACGGAGCTAGGGAAGCAGTGCTTAAAAACTTTGAAAAGATAGAAGCCTAATAAAAACAGAAGCATCATTTTATAATAATACATAAATACCATAATAAATAATGGCAGAGTCTACCTTGGGCTGCTGCTCAACCTGTGCCTAGCTCTCACCCAACAGGCTAGAAGACATTGCCTTTGTGGATCTTAACTCTGATATCTGGGTTATGCCAAAATGTGGGGTAAGAGGGAGTGTTTGGGTTAGCCTTCCTTCACTCACAGCTTCCACTGCACCAGAAGATATACAATAAATAGGGCACTCTGCCTTGACAAAGGCTGAAAGGTTTCTTTTCAAAGTCGATATCCTAAGGGTTGTAGCTTATGAGTTATTATGAAGGTTCAGAGGTTCCTATGTTCTTT